CACGTTTCACACCATAAACTTCAGGCTACAGCTTTCAGTTCCAGATCTCGACAATAATTATCCTTACATTGCGCACGGCTACTCATCAATCTACCAGACTTCTCAAAATCCTTCCCAGGCATCCTAATTCTGCCTTAATCCCAATCATACACAAACGGTTGGACATTGACTTTGTGTTTAAGTAATAATAACCCACTCACTGTTTACAACATGGGAAACGGGATTAAAAGCCCCCCAATCTCCGAGGTTTAAAGTGCAGTAGTTTATTAAACCCAAAGTTTGCGTTAATATCAATGATATAAAAACGGTTTTGCATTTACTTTGGGCATTGATTTTAAACCCAAACCGGTGGATAACACGGGTAACGGGTTAAAAACACTCCACAGATCCGCTGGGTTTAAAGTGCATCAGTGCAAAATATTCCCAATTCTACATTAATCCCAAATATATAAACGGCTTTTTGCAGTAAGTCTCTCTCTCTCACACTCACTCCCTCTCTCGCTCATTCACTTTCTCTGTCAATCAGCCGCTGGAGGATTTCAGTCTGTGGATCGTATTTGGGATTTAAAGCGAGGTCTTACCCCTCTTGAAGTGGAGAGGAGTAATTTGGTGTTAAAACCTTTATTATAATAATAATAATAACTTGTATTTGACGCATCGCCTGATCCCGCCTTCGAGACGCCTCAAACCTCTTCAGATTATTTACTGTAAACTGTCTCAGCAACGGGTCATCAAGCTCAGTTTTTAGAGCCCTGGCATCGCAAGCCAGAGACGGGGTTCGATACCCATCTGGGCTTGAAACCTTCAGCAATTTGCCTTCTTACACACAGACGCACACACAGACACACAGACACAATGACACACACACACATGGACACGCACACAGACACATGAAAACAGATCTATACAAAGACAGAAAAAGACAGAAACACACACATAGACAGATAGGCAGACGGACAGATACCCACAGAGACAGACACACACTGCTGTGCTCAATTTGCTGCCCAGTTTGGCCCTCATATTTACAGTTAGTTCACTTTACAGCGTATTCTGTGAAGCCCTTTGAGATGTTCAGAAGACGTGAAAAGGGCTATATCAAATTTCAGGATTATTATTATTATTTATTTTTATTATTGTTATTATTTTAGAGAACATTTGTGGGTATTTACACAATACTGGGAGGTGGAGTTGCACTGCGAACAAATTCGGAATCTGTCTGTCCAGCGACCGGGGAGTTCCTCCCACCATGAGAGGCGTTCACACCAGAGCATGTTGTTGTTGTTGCTGTCGCTCACAGTCTCTCTCACACTCTCTATCTCACACTCTGTCCCACACTCTCTGTTTCACTCTCTTACATTTTCTCTCTCTAACACACTATCACAATCAAACTCTCTCTCACTCTCTCTCACACTCTCTCACTCTCCCTCTCCATCACACGCTCTCGTTCACTCTCTCCATTGTGGAAGGACAGAATGAGTGTGAGAGAGAGAGAGACAGAAAAGGAGTGAGTGCCTCTGTGTGTTTGTGAAGCGCATTGGCGGCCATCTTGGTAAATGCGGCGTTGCGGGATGTCAGTTGATGGTGGCCATCTTGGTAAAGGGACCCGGGGTGGGGGGTAGGGATATATATGTTGGGGGCATCTTGGTAAAGGGATGATAGCAGGGCAGTGAAGTTATATGTGTGACGTGGCAGTCTGGCGGCGGCCATCTTGTGAAAGGCGGCGGGTACCGCGCAGTGACGTCATGTGATGACGTAGGGCCTGAGTCCGCGAGCGGCGGGGACGGGCGGGAAACCCGGGTAAACCGAGCGGGAGTCGCGAGCAGCGAGGATGTCGATGAGTAAATGCGGGCGCGGGAGGCCGCGAACTGGCCTCGACGGGACGATAGATGGTCAAGTCTCCGCCTGGTCATCGGGGGGTCAAGGCCACGGGCCGGTGACCGCGCGGCGGCGGCCAAGAGAGGCCTCAGGCCACGTGACACCATTTCAAAATCCATCAATAACGGTCGAGTCTCGCGCTGTCGGAGGTCACTTCCGGGCGCCATTTTGAAAGCTGCTCGGGCCGAGTAAGAAGAGTGACGTCACTTCCTGGCGCCAGATTCAAACCCGCCAGGGTGGGGCAAGTCCCCGCCATTATACTTCTGCTGCCTGTCCTCCCTCCCCTCCGGCGCTCTGGCACCTCAGCCATGACCGCCATTCCCGCTCTCCTCTTACCCCCTTGCGCTGGCTCCGGTTGTGTTTTTTGGGCAGAGTGCGGTTTTGGGTGAAGCGGCGGTTAAGGGTGCAGAGGGGGAGATGGGGATTTGGGGAGAGACAGACGACGGTCAGACAAACAGCTGGTGTAGTGACTGGCTTTGGGGCTGAACCAGGAGATCATCTCAGATAGAGACAAGACCAGGTGTTAGTGTAAGGCCGGAGTTCAGCCCCATCATCAGCGGGTGTCAAGGCCACGGGATACATTCTTGGCCCCTTCTCTTCAACTGTAGGCTCACTCTCGGTGATGTCATCAGCAAACACTGGGTTAACCCACTCATGTTCCTTCCTTTTCGACTGCGCCTAAAATCACCTTCCCCCTCCCATCGGGTTGGCCTGCATTTCCGCCATTGTTAAGCTGTGAGACGCTGCCAGGCGTGGAGGGCGCTCTACAAGAGCAAGTTGTTGTTGAACTAGTGGTGGCCACCTTGGTGAAGGTCCCTGTGTGAGAGGGATTGAAGGAGGCGGCGGCCATCTTGGTAATGAAGGGAGCCACTCAGTGTGTGTGGGAGGCAGTGACAACAAATAAATTTGGATAATAGGGAGAGTGTGTTCCCTGAGGCACTGAGGAGGAACCTCTGATCTCCAGATAACACGGATCTTAATATCGTTACTCTTTAATCACCTCTCTCTCTCCCTCACTCTCACTCCGTTTTTCTCTCTCCCTCTCCTCCGTTTCTCTCCACTCCTTTCCCTATCGGAGTACTGTAGCTCAGTGGTTAGGGCATTCGCTTTGCAAGCGAGAGACCTGAGTTCAATTCCAGTCACGGCGAAACATTGGGCAAATTTCCTTACTCCACATGCGCAATTATAATCCCTCCAAAACCAAAAACAATAATAAATTGGTCCTTTTAAATTTACGACTGTTTATGGGACATTACTGTGCACAATTGCCTGCCGCGTTCGCCCACAAATATACAGTCAATTCACTTAACAGTGTGTTCTCTGCAGCGCTTTGAGACGTCCGCCTGAGGTGAAAAGCCCTACATCAAATGCAAGGATGATTATTATCATTATTATTATTATTATCTCTCATCTCTCCCCTTCTCTCTTCTCTCTCTCTCTATCTCTCTCCGTTTCTCTCTCACTCCCCTTTCTGTCTGTCTGTCTCTCTCTCTCTCTCTCCCTTTCTTTGTCTCTCTACTCTCCCTCCCCTTCTCTCCCACTCTCTCTCTCTTTTCTCTCACTTTCTCCCGTATTTATCTTTTCGATAACATGATGTGTCGCTGTATCAAATGCCAGGATTATTATGTATTAACAGAATGGCACTGAAAGACTTCAATCATAGCATCATAGAATCATAGAATTGTACATCACAAAAACAGGCCATTCGGTCCATCAAGTTTGTGCCGGCTCTTTGAATAGAGCAAGTAATGTCAATCCCACTTCCCAGCCATTTCCCCATAACCCTGCAAACCCGTCCTCATCAAGTACCCGTCCACCTCATTTTTAAAAGTAGTTAACGTATCGGCCTCGACCGTCATTTCACTCAATGCGTTCCAGATTCGACCAATTCGATACGTGAAAAAAAAAATTCTCACATCCCCTCTACTTCTTTCAGAGATTATTATGTATCTGTGACCTCGAGTCACCGAGACACCCAACTACGAAGACAGTTTTTCCCTTTCCAACTTATCAAAAATTCCCACATGATTTTGAAGACATCTATCAGTTCCACTCGTAAGCTTCTCGGCTCCAATGAGAATAATCCCAGCCTCTCTCGCCTTTCCTCATAATTAAGATCCCTCATTATTGGTACCATCCTCGTAAATCTCCTCTGCAACTGTTCCAATGCTTTAACATCTTTCCACAGTGTGCTGCCCAGAATTGTGCACAGTATTCTAACTGGGGCAAACCAGTGTTTTTTATAGGTTAATCATAACCCCCTGACTCTTGTGCACTATGTCCATATTTATGAAGCCTAGAATCCCATTTGCCCTTTTTACAGCCTAATCTCCCTGTCCACCTTCAAGGATTAATTTTCCTTCAACCCAAGTCTCTCTGTTGTTTTACATCCCTTAAGGTGATATTAACAGCATATGTTGCCTCCCCTCATTCTTTCTACCAAAATGCATTACTTCGCATTTCTCTACAGGGAAACTCATCTGCCATGTTTCTGCCCAATTTGCCATTCTGTCGATGTCTTCCTGCAGTTGGCTCCTATCCTTCTCACTGTTTACCACCCTACCAAACTTTATGTCGTCCGCAAACTTGGAAATGGTGCTTTCTAAAGACAAGTCCAGACCATTGATATACATTATGCAGAGCAGTTGTCCTAATACTGATCACTGGAGGAAGTCGCTGTAAACTGCCATCCAGTCAGAAACGCAGCCGTTCACCACAACTCTCTGCTTTCTATCTTCCAGCGAGTTCTGGATCCATGTTGCCACTCGTCCTTTTATACTACTGGCTTCTATCTTTCTTACAAATCTTTCATGTTGAGCCTTGTCAAATGCCTTTTGAAAGTCCATATAAACCACATCCTATGCATTACATTTTCCACCCACTCCGTTACCTAACGAAAAATTCTTTTAGATTTGTTCGAACATGGTGTCATAATCTTAAAATGAGAGATAGGCCCTTTAAGAGTGAAATTAGAAGCATTTTTT